TACCCACTTTTTCAACTACAAGTAAATGGCTCCTCAGAAAAACACACTGCTACTAATGGGCTACAAAGAGTCAGGTTATTTTGTTTTCCAAAACCACTCTGCATTCTAAAGTAACATCACAATTTTATCTGTAAGTAATTAGTGAGAGAGGCATGAAAAAATGGGTGTTAATAAATCCAACAAACACCTAAGAGATTCAGCTGGGAACTTGCAATTCCTATGTTACAGCAGACAGCACAAAGGTAATCGAGCTACAGTTGTCCTGCAGAAATAGATGCAAAATAAAACTTCAGCAACTTGTCAGTTAGTTTTGACGATTAACAAGAGCAGACTGCAAGAACTTCTGACAGCTGACTGCAGTCCATAGATTCAAAAGCTGTGAAAACCATAGTAAACACTACAATTAATGCTATAAGAAAATATTTTCACTCATTTACCATGCATTTATTGTGGTAACTTCCATTTTAGCATGCGCATTACTTATTCCAAATAGTGTGAGTGTACACAAACACTGCCTCTCAATCTGTTTACAGTAAAAGGGTCTGTCTAAAGGGTATTTCGACACTATTTATGAGTGACAGTAATATTCATATTCTCTTTCCTAAAAGAACTATATTTTACTTAATTTAACGATTAAAAAAAACCCCCAAAATATAAATGTAAGCTACATCTTGCTTAGCATTTTTATTTTAGTTTAGTTTTCTTCCTGTACCAAATTCTTAGCTGTAGAAATTTCTCTTAAACTATACTCTAGAGATCAAGCAATGAGCGAGACTGTCACCAAGAACTAAATAAATTTAAGTGTAAGACATTGTGACAGGACAATGAATCTGCCGGGGTTCTGAATCAGAACTGCCCGTACCTTTTCCCTAAAATTAGGACAATGAAAAACACCAAAAGGGATTCAAACCCTATAATGGTGTTTCATTAAAGAACAAACTACAACAAGGTGAGCTATAAAACTAGGGAAAAACCAGCACCTGCTATGTAATAAAACTGAAATAAAAGCCAGATCATCTATTTTACAGACAACCTTTTTCCTGTCATTTTTGCTCCAAATCTAATGTCTTTCAAGGGGCTTTTTCAGTTGCACAGGCTAAAACGTATACCCTCCAACATCCTAAAGCACCTCTAGCATTTGATTATGTGTTTGGTCTTCTCATGCCCCTTGGTCCCTCATTGTCGTGTGTTCACTGCTTGCTGTTCCTCACATTGTTTCTTAAATCTAATCTACTTGTAGACTGTTGTGCTGTGGACAATAGGGGAAATTTCATTCTTCACCTCTTCTCCTTCTCCACCAACCTTCTGGCATTAAGGGTGCCACAGGGTCTCTGAGATCAGACAGCGTATTCTGCAGAAAATTAGATTTACCCTATTTCTGTTTTCCTTTAGAAGGCGCTGCAGCTGAATAATCATCACAGATGATTAAACATAACAAAAATAAACTTTATTCTCTCCCATGTTTAAACTTTACCTATGTTCTTTCTAAGGGTAAACAAAAACCTACCAACCTGCATGTCATCTCCTACCAAACTTTCCCAAACTACTTCAGAAATGTCTTCTAACTGCTTAGCAAATGTCTCTTCACCTTCTTTTATGTTCATTCAAAATGAAAAACGAAGAGCCTGTTTCTCTTGATCCTGCCACCTTCCTCCACTGCAAACTCTTCAGGAACTTCAGGCTGTAAACCCGCTCTATGATCAGACTTTGAAAGCTGTACACCTGTTTTCCCCAGACTTCAGAAGCATATTATGCCATTTTAGTCCTTATGTATAAAGGGAGTCATAATCGAGAACAAACATAAAACACAGTCACTACCAAAAAGCCAATGTCAATCCAACACTGTCCTGTTTCAACGCCATCTTTAAAACTCCTGCTCATAATCAACCATAATTACAGAGCTAGTATGCTCTGAAAGGTGCTTATCACACTGAAGAAAAGCCCAACTCACTGTTGCCATTTATTATATTCTTATTGTTATTGGTCTCTCATATTTCAATAGCAAGCTCATCTGGATAACACAATTTTTCCCCCCCAATAAGCAGGTCCTATGCTTGTAGACACACCAAAATAATATCAATCACCAACCTCTATTAACAATAAAAACCACATTTCTTAACTCTAATGACATATGATGTAAAAATGAAGCATTTTAAACACCAAGTTTGTGATGAGGAACTATTCCATCATGTAGAACAGTGCTTTACCTCATTTAATTAACAATTCATTTGACAAACATTTCCATTTTAATTATATACTAGCACTAATTTACAACAAATTAATTGCTTAAAAACAAATATAGATTGTAAAGAATTTAGTTACAAGTTCTTTTTAAGATCCTGTATCCACCTATATCTACCTCAATATATGCAATTGCTTATGCTCAAGCAGCTTTCTCGTCGAATGGAACGCAACTACCTGACACTGCAATTAAAAAAACCCTACAACCTTTCTTACGAAATGTTTATTTTGTTACTGGCAACCCACAATGTAAATCAGTCATCACTAAAAAGAAGAGACTGGACTGGAGAGCAAAGGTCAGTGTACATCATTTATGTTCTCCAGTAAGTCCTATGATAAATATATTTCATTTGTCTGTAGATATGCATGCACTAAAATCTATTCAGGTTTTTTTTTAATTACATTTAGCTCTTTTACTTGCAGCAGTCCAGGTACTTGACACTGTATATTCAGCTGTGTTATGCAAATAGGTGACCAGCTGAAGACTTCTGACAATTCAGAGACTGTCACTCTTCCACTAAATTCAAGTGACACGAAAATTTCTATCAGGTCCATTAAGAACTACAAAAACATCACAGGTAATCAGTAACTGTGTCAAGTTTGAGATGTTTTGTTTACTTCAGATATTCCAGATTGTAAGCACATGTTGCAATTTGTAGTATGTAAATGCATGGAATAATTATATGCATTGATATGATTTCATCTATTTTAGGGCTGCATTTGTATTTAGCAAGACTGCAATGGAAAAACTGATCCATTTCGCTGCAAAGGAAAATGGGCAACTTTATAAAGCTTTAGAGCAAGTTGTATTTGTGATGGAGAGTAGTGTAGAAGTAGATGCCTAAATTCCAAAGTTTCTCATACATTTCAGTGAAAAGCGAAGACTCCTTCCAAACTGCCATAGAGAGCACCTACATTCTCTCTGCTGACTAAACAGGGAAGTCAAAAGGTCTCATTTCTGCTCTCATATTACATGCTCAGTTAGTTCCTTACAAATACTGCAAACCCAAACACACACACTAGCCCAGAACAATTTAACAACTTGAATGTCACAGAAATCTTATTGGTGTATATGTGCAAAATTGGCTGGCTGGAAAGCACCATTGTAGAAAAGGACCTGCAAGTCCTGGTGGACAACAACTCGAACACGAGCCAGCAATGTGCCACAAAGGTGGCCAACAGCATCCTAGGCTGCATTAGGAGTGCCGTCAGCAGTTCTGGGAAGGTGATCTTTCCCCTCTCCTCAGTGCTGCAAAGGCCACATCTGGAGTACAGGGTCCAGTTCTGGGCTCTACAGCACAACAAACACATGGACACACTGGAGCAAGCCCAGTGAAGGGCTACAAAAATCATGAAGAGACCAAGGATCTCTCAAATGAGGAAGGGGTGAGGAAGTTGAGACTGCTTAGCCTGGAAAAAGCTCAGGGGAAGTCTCATTATTGGTTGTAAATATCCAGCAGGAGGGTGTAAAGAAGATGGATTGAGACTCTTCTGAGAGGTGTCCAGCGACAGAACAAAAAGCAGCAGGGACAAACAGAGTAAATGCCATCTGAGCATAAGAACACATTTTTTTTTGCTGTAAGGGTGACTGAGCACTAGGCACAGGTTGTCCAGAGTGACTGTGAAGTCCACCTCCCTGAAGATACCGAAAACCCGACTGGACACAGTCTTGAGCAAACTGTTCTAGTTGACTCTGCTGAAGCACTGGGGTTGGACTAAACAACGTCCAAAGGCCCCTTACAACCTCAACAATTCTGTGATTCTGTTGAAAAATGCAGAAAAAACATCACAAGCTAATCTTTAAATGACACGTCAGAGGATGACAAAGCTTTTGGGTTTTTTTTAAAGTTATTTTAGCTTTGGCAATGTTTATTCTATATTTGAATAACGTAGTTGATCTGATTCAGTGGACTAGATGATCTTTATGGTCTCTTCCAACCCAACCCGTTCTACAATTCTGATTTTAGCTGAAAAAGAAACATGAGTAAGCTGGTCTTTTTCTTCCTGCTTTTTGTGACTGAATATTGTACACTTGTGCACACAAAGACTCAGATTATAAGGCAGCATTTACTAATACCAGATTATTTTAGTAAATACAGTAATAATAATTTTCGATGGGAAAAACATTAAATTCCCACACCAAAGGCATGACTTAGGAAGCAAGTGTAACCAGTTTACTGTTACTTACAGCTTTGTTTACGTTTTACTCAGCAGGGGTTTTGGGTGCTACATTTTAGATTCTGACTGAAGCTAGCCCTGCTTTAAGGGAAGAGGGGAGGAGTGGGTTTAACGCAAACAACTTTCAGGTCTCTTTAAAATATATAAATTTAATAGCTACTTGCTTTAAAAAAATAAAAAATGGAGAGATCTGTTACTGTGGTGCATAGTTATTCTTTCAAGCTCTTTTGTTATATACATCAATCACTCTTATAACGTTATAGCTGTGATGATGCCAGTTATTTATACGTCTGAGAATACACAAACCTTTCCTCATCAACCTCTTAGCTTCATTTTCCACATCTGTACTAATAGATGAGCAATGCAGCATAAAATACTCAATTCTAGCAGTCAATTCATTGTTACTAACACAATCTTGTTTTGCAATTGTTACAACTTAACATTTTAGTAGGAAAATACTAAACCTGTTTAGATGTGATATTATATATTTGAAGACATCATAGTTCACCGGGTGGAATTTCTTCACAATTTCTTTCAACTCGTGTAGCCGTTCTGTCTTATCCAGGATTTCTATAGAAATAAGTGACATTTTATGATATCACCTAGAAAGTCATGCTGAGTAACGTGTTGCTAAGTCTTTTTCCTAGTATAATGGTACAGGTAAGATAGTCACAGAGAAATATTGTGAGAAAATACTTGATAAAATATCTATTTTCATACAGTATTGCATAGAATAACTTCTTCTTATAGAGGTAACTATTTAAACACAGAAGTATTTTTCTGTATTTAAGCAGAATTACTTATCTGTGTTTTAAAGCAAATAATCACACGACTAGCTTGTTCTTGGCTCCTAGAATGATAACTAACAATGTGACAGTCATTTCTTCTTAGATTTTCCTTTGCCTGCAAAATTTTATGACTTAGATATAAGATTTATTCAGACTGCAGCTTTGCAAAGATGGGGAACACAGTCACATGAACGTAGAATATCTTAAACTTGTCAGTTACTCAGATAATTAAAAAAATTATGAATGAGCTGAGTGCAGCTATTTTATACATATATATTGTTTAAAGGAGAACAGTGATTATCAAAGGCCCAAGGGACATTACTTATGCTTCAAAGAGGAAATAAGCAACATGTAAGACAGGACTATGGAATAAAATAGCAACTAGTGAAAAAAAAACCAACAAACAAACCCAACAACTAATTCTGCTGCTAAACACTTGTGGAAAATACCACTAGAGTATTGCAGAACCACACGTTCTGTAGAACACACTTTTCAAGTTCACATCTATTACTTGACTGTATTGCTAAAAAGAAATTTGAGGTACCCTAGTAGTGTACAAATTCTGTTAAATATGCTCCAATATATACTGGGTAGAAATTTAAAGCTGTATTAATGGCATTTTAAAACAGTAAGTCCACTTATATTCTAAGCTATTGCATGTTTTGACTGAAATTTAACTGATACAAGTTTTGAGAAAGAAAAATCAACCTAACTAATTACATTAAACAAGCAATTTGCTTGGAACGTACAGCAGAAATAGCATAAACACGTACCTACAGATACCATCCAGAAATACAAAGTTTCTACTGGACTAGATATTAATGAAGTCCAGGCCCAAGCCTTATGTTTACAATAGTATTTTCATGTTTTGAACAAAAAAAACCATTAAGAATACTGTGTCACTGTTCTATCCTGCAATAATGCGTAGCAGTCTTTTTCTGCAACCGTTTGTTGCTAATACAAGAGGTACAGTCTTTAAAACACGAGAACAATCCAGTCATTTCTCTTGGAAGTGTCTGAAAAACGTTTGTAAGGCAAGCAAAATGAAGCACTTCATCCTATAAGGATTTCAAAAAGAATGTGAAAAACACCTAAAAGACAATTACCATAACATTCCACAGATGTGTCTGATTTCTAAAGCCTAATTTGAATCTAAGACTTTATAAATTCAAGGGTTTTTCCCCTACTAACAACTGCAATACAATTCTAAGAGCTTTCATCATGTGCAGCACTAACATAGATTTTAAAAAAAAAAAAAAAGTAGATTTCTCCAATTAAATTTTCTAGGAAAGCAGCCACAACTTATTTAGAAAAGATAGCGTATTATGTTTATTTAATCATAAAGTTCTGTTAATTTTAAAGAATATAAAAATGTACACATCTAAGCAATTTTAAAAGTATTTCAGCGCATCTACTCCTTTCAACTTACAATGAAGTAAAAATCGCAATAAGGGCAATCAGTACAACATCATTAGATCAAGACAAGATTGTTTATTACTTACTTGATGTTTCTAATAACTCTTGATGCAAACAGTAAGGAATTAATGGATCTGGCAGATCTGCAAAAAAAGCTTTAAGAGCTCCGGCCACTGCATTTACTGTTACTCCCATAGCCTCTAGACTGATATTATGATCTGTAAAACAAAATTAAACAGCAGTGTAAGTAAAACCTGCAGCTATCATTTCTCATAACATCTTATGAAAACGAGAATTTATTCAAAACACTGAAAACTAAAGTGTTGCCAAACATTTGTTAAAAAATGCACTAAAAGGTGAACCTATGGGTATGCTGCCATCACTTTGAGTCACACGAAATCAAATAGAAGGAAATGTGACAGCATGAGAAAACAGTAGAAGATCGGAAAAATAGAGTTGTCTTTACCATTGAATGCCTTCTGATTAATCAGTTTTGCCCGATAATTCTATTTCCCAGTTTTTTTAAAAAATTGATAATCAATTTGCAGAATTCATGCGACTGTGTTCATGTGACCACATGAAGCCTTTAAAGAGAGGTCAAGAAAACGTATCTGTGACCACACATGGACAAATCTAGTATTATACTCAAATTATGTGAAAAAGCATAGTGAGGCACAAAAAAACCCTACTAAATTTATTTTTGTTATAAACTAGGAGTAATTCTACTGTTTTCACAGTTTCAGGATTAATATTCAAGAACTTTTAAGAAGTGTTTTCACTTTGAAATCAACTGAGATAATAAATTAAATGACAAAACAGAAGGAAAAAAACAATGCTGATGCTTTTAATACATCAAAGTGAACAGCATAATCTGTCAATCCTATTCTAGTTCTTTCTAGTCTAAGAAAGGTTGTGTTAGATAATTATTATCAAGATTTAATTGTTAAACCGTATTATTCAAGAGAGCTTTCAATAAAATAAGTATCAAGAAGTACCACATTTTGAGAGGATAAGGAGGGGAAGATTTAGACTGGATATTAGGAAGAAATTCTTTACTGTGCGGGTGGTGAGACACTGGCACAGGTTGCCCAGGGAAGCTGTGGATGCCCCCTCCTTGGAAGTGTTCAAGGCCAGGTTGGATGGGGCTTGGAGCAATCTGGTCTGGTGGGAAGTATCCCTGCCCATGGCAGGGGTTGGACTGGATGAGCTTTAAGGTCCCTTCCAACTCAATCCACTCTGTGATTCTATGAATGCCTTAATGCCTGGAATTCATGAACTATCAACACAAGGGGAAGCTAAGACTGTATTTAAACTCTCTTTAACACCAGAATACCACCTAGACATGATTTTATCAGCACTTAAAACCAGCTGTAACAGGATTCTATCCCACTTTTGGTTTATGCACAGCTTCATTGTCAGTAACTTGGACTATACAAATACAACCTACCAGAGCATTAAGAACTCAGCCCCATGGAAGTCTGTTCGAAAGTACAACCCTTTTATATGGCACTATGTTAAATCCATGGAGAATTCAAGTTTGGTTTTGGCTTTAAATAATAAAATCTGCCATTACCTTGATCAAACTGTTTCTGAATGTTGTCTTGATCTGTTTTATTCCCACTAACACGGTACAGGCCTTCAGTACATAATCCTTAAAAGGAGAGAAAAAAATATTCAAAATTCAGTATACATACTATAGAGCAAAACAGAGACAGTCATAATTAATAATTCAGAAACTGTAAGTAGGAACAGAAATCTTAAATGCCTAAAAAGTAACATGGAAACCATTATAGTGATATAGGACTACCAAAACACAAAACACCAGCTGTCTCTTGAGTTCGCTATTATATTTAATATGATTCAGAGGAAGCCACATCGTAGGATAACAAGAACCTGACTGCAGGCATTTGTGGAATAACTTACCCAAAATTATTCTGATCTCTGCAAGACTGTTGTTATTTGCATCTTTTTTTCAATAATCAAAAAAATCTCTATTCTGGAGTTTGGTACCTAGAGAATTCACATTTTTTAAAACTGTTGTCATCATTTGGGCTTAACAACTTCCTATGGCAAGCAATAATACACTAATAAAATACTCTGCAGAAAAATTAAGCATTTGTAATTGATTCCCGATTTTTCAATTTCATGGTGTAGCACTCTCCTGTATGAGAGAAGGACTTAATCTTCTTACATACTTTCCCTTTTACCGCTTCTATTTTAGAAACTCTGCATCCATTTCTCCTCACTTCTTTTCTAAGGTACATTATCAAGGCATTTACAGGTCTGTCTTTAAGGGGTAGGGGAAAGGGAAAATGAGTGTCAAAAAAATCAGAGGTGCTCCAGGTTTATCATCATTACTTCATGGAGTCGTCATAATTAAAGCAGTCATTCTAGGTGAACAACATTACAAAAATACACTTGATCGTGCACACACACACACTTGCTTACTCCACTCCAGTGACTGTGCTTCCTATCACACTGCTATCTTTTTTGCCCACAGCTAATCACTGAATGAAAGTGTCCACCCTGCTAATCACATCACTACCCAAGATCTCTTTCTCTGTTAGAACTCATTAGGAATACAAGAAGTTTAGAGTTCTGCAATTCTCCGAGTTACCTTTATGGGTGCAAAATTATCTATATGCCAGATCTTCGTAACAGTACATGGTTCCATTTTAAAATTCCGAGTTTTAGAGCTTTAAGAAATCTCTTGATTTTTTACCATTACAGCCCACTAATAGAATGCATTTTGGATTATCAAATCAATACATAACTCCTCTGTCACTCCACAGTGACCAAGTGTGCCAAGAAACACTAGGAGTCCTGTTACAATGCTCAAAGTAAAGAAAGCACTTAACTGCTTCATACTGCTGGGAAACTTATACCAATTAATTTGATATCAACTCAGTTCTAACTCGATTTTTCCTTCTTAATGCCTTGACAATTCACACATCTCTCTGCTGGCTGCATCAAGGCTATTTTAGTAAGCTTTTCTTCAATATAGCTACCATTCAGCTTTCCAAATCCATAGTCAAGAGTTCTCTCTTGTAAGACCTAATCAGTCCTTTAAAAAAAACTGAGCCTCATTCACCGACATCCTCAAAAAGCACCAGGAGGCATAATTTGGTGGGCAAAAATTGGTTTCAAAGATTCAATAGCTTCCACAGCTGGAAAGGGTTTCAAACTCGCCTTCAAAAGTATGCCTCAAATGTGCTACACACTATGACAGACAGAAATACTTTGCATTCCTCTTCCAGAAGTCGTAAATAACCTGGGAGTACTAGTGGACCATGATGACCATGAGCCAGCAATGTGCCCTTGCGGCCAAGAAGGCCAATGACATCCTGGGGTGTATCAGAAGGGGTGGTTGTAGGTTAGAGAGGTTCTCCTCCCCCTCTACTCTGCCCTGGTGAGACCGCATCTGGAATATTGTGTCCAGTTCTGGGCCCTCAGTTCAAGAAGGACAGGAACTGCTTGAAAGAGTCCAGTGCAGAGTCACAAAGATGACTGAGGGAGTGGAGCATCTCCCTTCTGAGGAGCGGCTGAGGGAGCTGGGTCTCTTTAGGTTGGAGAAGAGGAGACTGAGGGGTGACCTCATTAATGCTTATAAATTTGTAAAGGGCAAGTGTCAGGAGGAAGGACCCAGGCTCTTCTCTCTGATGTCAAATGATAGGACAAGGGGCAATGGGAACAAACTGGAGCATGGGAGGTTCAATATGAAGATAAGGAAAAACTTTTTCACTGTGAGGGTGACAGAGCATGGCCCAGGCTGCCCAGAGAGGTTGTGGAGTCTCCTTCTCTGCAGACATTCAAAACCCTCCTGGACGTGTTCCTGTGTGACCTGCTCTGGGTGATCCTGCTCTGGCAGGGGGGTTGTACTGGATGAGCTTTCCAGGTCCCTTCTAACTCCTAATATTCTGTGAAATCACTGGTAGGTATGAACAAGGTAGGACTGCAATTCTCTCTGTATGGGAGAATTCTCAGTTGAAGACCCTACACCCCAAGACATTCTGGGTTTTATCCAACTACTATTCAATTTATTTCTGCATAAAAGGAATGTGCTACAGTAGTGTTTTCTGAGAAGTCTGATCCAGTCACTGTTTAGCAGAAGCATTTAAACCTTGACTACTTTAACTGGGCTGCTCAGGAGACAGAGATGCTCTACTGCAGTATCTGGGCTTCCCGCTCCCACCCCATTTCATCAAAGAGGAGACACTTCATTGCTCAGACCCATACAGCCCTGAGAAACATAGACAGACATCTTAGAGTACTTCAGAAAATTTTCAGGTTAAACAAGGAGAAGCCTACTGAATTTACACATCTTCCAAAAATAGCTAAGTGCTACAAGTCTGGATTCAGCTAACTAAATTTGTCTTTTAAATTCCTAAGCAAAAATAATTTTTCTTGCTTGTATATTCTAGGAAGTAACACTTCATGAAACGATTGGTCAACTGTCATTATGCTATTTCTCTAAGACACACAAGGAGACAAGTTTAATCTGTTTGTGTGCATACACACAGCTAGAAGTTTGCAAGTATAATTTTTAAGTAATGCTTCAGTTCTCTTTGTTGTTTAATGCCCAACCAGGTTTCTGCAATGCTTGTTACAATAAGATCTTCATCACATATAGGACGACACTGTAGTTCACTAGTTTTAGCTTTTAAACCTCTTGCGTATCTACAATGTACATCCATACTGAGAGAGAGAGCATGCAGCATTTATTTTTTCTTGATGGCCTTTTAAAAATTCAGTTCCTTCATCTGCAAGCCCACTGATTTTTTTAGAATTCTTAACTATGTTCTTATCCCTCTTCCCTTCTGATCCCAGCTGTAATTTTCAAGATATCCTTACTGGACACAATGGCTGCTATAATATTATATGTAAGAATCACCCCATTTATTTGTTTCTCTGTCCTGCTAGCTTTACTATACCTTTAGGCTTAAAGAATTAGATCTTCCTTATTTCAAGTCACAATAGCCTGTATTTCCTTCAAGACAGAGCTCACCTCCTTTGTCAAGACTATGCCTTTCTCAAAGTACCTTCTAGTGCCTAATAAATTCTCTTCTTGTGCCTTCCTTCGTGCTGCTGGCTATGATCAGGGCTCCATCCCATCTAACTGGAACTTCTTAACATGCTAAAACAAACTGACTCAAATTGTAACCAGTATTCAAACTGTGTGCATACCATGGAATTAAACAATAGCACAATTTTTTTCCCATATCACTTACTCTCGTAATTCTTTTATTCTTTTTGCTTGCTTGATAGCAAGTACTGAGAGTTGAAGTTTTCAGGCATCTGTCTACAATGATTTAAAGCTTCTTCCCAAGTGACAACAGCAATACTAACATTTAGCCTGCTGAAAAGTCACACAGTATCCGCCAACTTGACATCCATAGCCATTTCCACTATCACTGTTCTGTCTGCATTTCTGAATACACGCCACCTAATCACAGCAAACCTCACTCCCCAGTTTAACTCCTTCTCCTACAGTGACCAAGTAAACTTCTCAGGAATCATTCTCCACTACAAGCTGAGATGCCAGTCCCACACTTACTTTTGTGATATACATCATTCTATAATTTTATCCCACAGATTGTTCTGGTGTACCTCTTCTCAACCTCTACGCTACCCAGATTACACAAGACTAAGGGAACTGCCACCTTACTGATCCAGAATGGTAATTTCTAGGTACACCTACAATATGTGTAATAGCAGACCAAAGAATCCAAACTCTTTTCAAGTAAGAAGAGTCTAGCACTAAATTTACTTACATAAAATGCATTTAAAATTCTACTTTTCATGTGTTTCTATCTGTGCACATCACAACACTGGCATTTAAATATCCATGACATTCAATTCACACACCAAAACTCAGAACCAAAAATAAGTGTCTTACTCCTTCTTATAATAAAACAATTTCTAGAATATTGAAATGTTCAATAAAAAGTAAGCAGTGTAAGAAAATAAGCAGTACTTTCAGAAAGACTCAAAAAATAGGAAGCTCTCATCCAATGCTGAATTAACAACTGTATAATTTACCTTAATCAATTGTTAAACAAGCTCTCAATCATTTTATCAAGTGTCAATCACATATTTCATGTCCTGATCATTTAGAAAAAAGAATAAAAGACTTCAACTAATATAACATGACAAACATGCCTAGAAAACCATAGGTGCATTCTTTACTTCACTAAAAATGGGTGGCATCTGAAGATACTCTTAATTTTCCAGGCATATTGGCTTTGGTCACTTTGGGCCTGGAGAAAACTAGAGGAACAAGAGGAGCAGCATAAGTACCGTAAGTACTCTGCAAAAGATACTGACATCTTGGTCCTCTCTGCACTGTTTAGGAAACCTTTACATAATTCCTGTGATGTTTCCTTTGAAGAGATACCTTAATTAGCAATACAGCTCAAGTGCACAACATGTGTTTATGAATATTTCAAAACATATTTGTTTACAGTTTTCAGTGATTCTCACACACTAATAAATTAACGCATGTGCTCCTCCTCCATCCGTCTGGTAGTCAGTTTTCCATTAGGAGAAACAACCGATGCCTGTTTTCCCCTCCTCTTGAGTTTGGACAGGGTTTCCTCCCTGCTGATTAATTCCAAAGTTGCAAAACACAAACTGGTGCACAGTT